AGCGCTGCTCGTTTCCTGTTATGACCCTTCTCTGGCTCGCTCCACTTCTGGTGCACTGTAAACTAACACTTGCAGTGACTCAGCTTTATAAATAGGACATTTACAGTGAAAATGACAGGAAATTCCTAGTGGCTCACACAAGCGAAGCCCCCACCCCTGCTTCCTCCAGCCTCTGCTCCCGGCATCCTCCTTGATGACACTGATGATGGCTGTTGCTCTTCTGTTCAGGGACTGGAACTGGCCCCTGGAGGCCTGAGGGGGTGAGGACAGAGGCGCCCAGCCCTGACTGCACAGACGCCCAGGAGAAGCAGCTCACAGGACAGTTCTGTGCCACCACCTCGCTTTCACTGACCCCCCTGAGAGGATGGTGCCTTTCTGGCTACCACTTGGTGAATGGGAAACCGGAATTCAAATCCATCTCTGGCTCATGCTGGATCTTAAGAGATGAGTCACATAGTCAACCTGCCAAGAGCACGGAACAAGAAGGCAGACGGAGCTGGGTGGGGTGGCATAAACCTGCAATGCCAGCACTAGGGGGCTGAGACAGGAGGGTCACTGTGAGATCCAGGCCAGTCCCAGCTAACACAGGGCATTGAAGACCAGTCTGGAGTACACAGCAAGAAGCTGCTAGAGGGAGAGAGGAAGGGAGGAAGGAAATAGATCATTCCTTCCTCTGGGGAAAGGTCGGGGCAGGAAGACGGCGCCCTGGCCTGTGGTTATCGTGCTTTTTGCGTTCCCTTCTTTTGGCCAGTGACCTGTTTCTTGGCAGGAGGTCATTTCTGGAAAACCAGAGTTGAGCTCGGAGCTCCTTGACACCCTGCTGCAGCTGGCTCGGCGTGTAGGGGCTCAGTGCTCCCAGGTTTAGGATCCAAATGCTGCTCAAATATTTGCCCAACAACTCCCTGTGTGCTTTGGCACAAGCAGCCTTTGCTGAGTCACTGGGTGCTGAAGCATCGCAGTGTGGATGCGGAGCCTTTTAATGTACCCTGCGATGCCTTCCTCCTCATCAGCCATGCTCCGTCACCGAGGGACTTGGTGACAAGAGCGGGCTCTGCTGCTAGGCTGCTGGGCAGGGCGGCGCTGTCCTCATTCTTTGGAGGAAGGCAGCTCTGCCATCGATGTTCAGAGCTACAGAGCTGTCTTCCCAGCAAGCTGTGAGATTTCTTCCTTAGGCTCCCTGCAAGCTTCTAAGTTCATCAAATCCCTGACAGAACCCCCATACTGGCCTACCTTGGTGCATTGTCCCTCGGTTAACAGTGTCAACCTGTACTAGTCACACTGGTTAGAAACCCCCCTTATCCCTGCCTTTCTTCTCTTCAGTCGCCCCGTGTCAACCGATTCTCTCTTTGTGTCTTTGGGCCACTTGGCCCCCAAGTCTCTCTCAACTCCTGCAGTGCTTGGCCAGAGCTGTCCTGATCACCCCATTCGCCTCCTGGCCCTTGTCTGATACAAAAGTGGGCGCTGAGCCCCATTTGGGTGGATCCAAGCCCTGCCCAGGGTTGATCCAGGGGAAGCAGTTTTTCTAGGCTGGACCCAGAGAGGCTGCAGCCCTGCACCCTGCCGCCTAGGAAGCCGGAGTGCTGCTCAGAGCTGCCCTGTTACAAAATGGGCCGGGGACTCCGGAAGCACAGGGCAGCTCTAGCCCCTCCCACCCGTCCACCAAAAGGCCTGGGTTCCCTCCTGGCTCCCCCAGTTTTTTGTTTTAAAAAAGATCAAAATGATAGAGCAGCTTGCAAAATACTTTAACAAATACTAGCACACCCTTTACCTAGATTTGCTGGTGCTTAGGATGCTCTGTCCTCTTTTAATCTTTGTAAGCCTGCACACAGTTGGTTTTCCTGTAAATACTTCAATGTCTCTCCTTAGAACATGAACAGTTTCCTACACAATCCCCGGACCACGATCACATCGGGAAAATTGAACAATGAAAAAAACATCAAGTAACCCGTACGGATTTTGCCAAAGAAATTTTGAATACGAATGTCATGCAGTTGGTTTTTCCTTTTTTAGTTGAAGAGCCAATGTGTTTTCTGTACAAAATGATTACAGCCACCGTGGGGAGCTGGGACGCACTCAAGGGAGCATAGTCGCATTTGGTTGCATCTTCTTATAAGGTCTCTGAGACTGGTTCCCTATCTTTTCTTTTTATTTTTTTCTTTTGTACTTCATAATGTTAACATATAACCCCATCTGGATTTATTTTTTCTCATAACCGAGTCCTACTAGATGTTTTTATTTTGAAGGTAGTAAAATACAATAAAACACGACAGAACAAAGCCAATCGAGACAATGCAGTGAAATTGGTACAGAACTTAGAGCAGGCTACCGGGATAACATCCAAAGTATATCTCGTTATCTTCACAGTAGTCCATTCAATCAGATATAGCAAAGTCAAACCAAAACCAGAACATTATAAAACCTATTGAACAGAGCAAAACAATCAGAACAAAGCAAAACAGTGAAAACTGTATTTGCCTTCAAAGAGAAGAGAGAAGACAATGCCCCATATTTGCTATATTGCATACAGTCATCCTCCCAAGAGATGCTCAGACTTCTGACCCCAGGTCAGCATAATCAACCCAACAATATGAGCATGTAGTTGCTTTATGTGTCTTAGTTGCTGTCAACTCTGGCTGACCTCAACACCATCCAGCTGCTAAAGGGGGAGACACACACTACATGTTTGAGTCTCAGCCGGCTGCTGACTTGTTCTCTTCCTGGCTTGCCTGCAGCTCGCTTGCGCCGAGGCCGCTCACCAGCTTGCTAGATATTTTTAATAAGACTACAATAGAGATGACACTGGATCCTACTCAGTGCATTGAGGACAATCTGTCATTTTACCCATTACCGGTGGAGATAAATTTGATTGCTTTTTAAAGATGAGATTTGCTGGATTTCCCCATGGTCAGAGTGCCCCTCCATCCCTGAGGATAATTAAATAAGTATACACTATGTCCGTCCCCTGGGCTCCAGTTCCCACAGGCCCATGCTAGGGAGCCGGGTGAGCCTGCCCTGCCCCGGCTTGCACTGCAGATGTGCAGAACAAAGGCAGAGAGGAGGGCTGTGCTCGCAAACCTGGGGTGTGAGAGGCCAAGCAGAACTGTGGCACCTCACCTCCGCAGTGTCCTGGTTCCATCCTCTGTAGCCTTCCCTAGAAGCCGGGAGGCTAGCAATCAAGTTCCCAGTGCGCGCTGGGCTGTGAGTACAAGCTCACTTGGGCACGGGGACCGCACCTTTTCCCTCTGCCCTGCTTCTTGTGGCAGTAACAGCAGCGCAGCTCCTTTGTGCTGCCCTGCTAAGGAGCAGGGCCTGTGCCTTATTCTCCGCAGCAAATAACAGGGCCGTAGTTTGTCTGATCAACTGTTAGACAGCAAAGGCTGCTCTAGCAACTGGTGGACGCCCCAGGCCCAGGGCAGCCCTGCCTGCCCAGGCACCCAGGGCTGCTGTGGTAAGGCCGGCTCGACCACAGAACGGATTCCCACTGTCCGGAAAATAGCAAGCAGCAATTCTTTATTTGTAAACAAAGGACTTCGTGCATCTTTTTCAAGCCCGACCCACTTTAGTCCCCCAGGAGAGGAAGTGACTGAGCACACAGGTAGAAAGGAATCTTTTGTTTCCTTCTCCTGAGCAAGTCCTTGGCAGGGCCTTCCGTACCCTGGCTGTGGGGTCAGAGGGCGGGAGCCACAGTGCCCAGGAACACGAGGTCCACCAGTCAGCTCAGCAGCCCGCACGCCTGGCTGGCCTCTGGTCTCAGGGTGAAGGGAGAGGTGCTTTCAAAGAGTGAATGTATTATATTTTAAAACATGCAAAGAGCTGGGCGCTGTGGTGCACGCCTCTAATCCCAGCACTCAAGAGGCTGAGGCAGAATGATCACCACGAGTTTGAGGCCAGCCTGGGTTACAAAGTGAGTTCAAGACCGGCCTGAACCATATAGTGAAACTCTGCCCCAAAAAAGACAAAAAGGAAAAAAAAAATGCAAGTCCTGTGATCCGGGAGATTCCTTGCTCTGGAACCTATCTTCTAGAAATGCTTACGCGTATGCACAGTTTAGAAGAACAGAAGTCCAGCCTGGCTGGGGAGCTGTAGGGAGCAGCTACCGTGTGGCTTTGCACTTCATGGAAACCACTGAACAAGGGTTCAATTTTCATTCTCACCAGTATGAGAGTGTTTGCAGTTCATGAGGGCTATGGAGGTGGTACATGTACATAACAAACCTTAATTATTTTCATGTTCCATTTCCATCCCTTCTCTTCCCTGTCCCTGCAATCTTGGTCCCTTTCACATCTACAAAAGATCTCTCCCCCTGTTTACTATCATCGATCTTCTTTTGTTCTTTGTGTGTGTGTGTGGAGGGGGATCAAACTCACAACCTCACACTTGCCAGGCAGGTGCTGTGCTGCTGAGCTAGATCCCCAGCTTTTATCTTGCTCTTTAATTTATTTAGCTTTGGGGGTTCTCATATAAAAGACACCACTCAGTGTTTAAGCTTATGTGTCTGGCTTATTTCACTTACCATTACGGTCTTCAGGTGCATCCGTTTTCCTACAAATGACCCAAGTTTATTCTTTGTAGCAGAATACTTCTTTGTGTATAAATACATTTTCATTAAAAAATAAATAAACACATTTTCTTTATAAAGAATTGAACTCTGTGGACTAACATGGAAAGACCCTTATGGATTTGTTATTGAGAAGACAGTATTATTGAAAGAATTTATGTGTAATCCCCCCCAAAAAACACCTTTGTGTTTTCTTTTTTAAACTTCCCTAAAATATATCGCAGACACAGACGGGGAAGTTTGGAAAATAGAATAACAAGCGTGTGTGAACCCACCATAAATTTTGCCACGTCTGCCTTTAATGGGGACCATGCTCGCCACCCGGCAGCTGACGTCGATTCCCTCCTCGGTTCTGCTGAGCATTCGCTGTCTGCAGACGCTGCTGAGCTCCGTGACTGAGCAGGACAGACACACATGTCACCTGCCTTCTCTTGTTTTTCAGGTGGGAGGACAGAGTGAATACAAGCAACAGGACAAGCACATGGTTATACATGCGGGTGAGAGTCAGCGACGTGGGGCAGGACAGGGTGGCCCGAGGAGAGATCTGGGTGCCAGGCCCTCAGGATGGACTCAGCTGTGGAAAAGCCCAGGGGCAGAGGCTCAGACACTCGCCAATGATGCCTGCCATGCTCTGGCAAATGAAAACCTGAGTGTACCCTGCCGGGGGTGGGGGGGGCAGTCAGAGCCCTCTGGCTGGAGTCCCAGCAGATGGAGCCCCCAAAGGACTGTGACCTCCATCTCGGCACACGTTCAGCATCTGCCATGGTGCAGACAGCAGGACAAGCAGCTCTGTCACCCACTGTGTGGACGTGACAGCTGCTGTGCCCACTGAAGGGACCACTCCGCATGCATAACTCTGACCCTCCTGGACCCCTGGCCCACACTCTCAGGGGTGACGGGTGACAGTGGGGCATGGACCTCTCACTTGGTGCACCTGGCCGCCACCCCTGGGTGGCAGAGGGTAGCAGTGGTCACAAGGAGGAGGTGGAGCAGGGATGAAAGGGGAGGCCAGATCGGACCTGAGACCCCAGGGAACAGGGAGGTGGCGGGAGGTGGGACACAGCTTTGCCAAGGTTCCAAGCCAATCAGGCTTTGCTTACAAAACATAACGCCAAGGACAGAATGACTGAAAAATCCAAGATGGCAGTGCTCACTGAGCATCTGACCCCAGGCATGCAGCACCTCCCTGAGCACAGGGCCCCAGGGGTCGCATGTGGACATGACACAAGGCCACCAAGACCTTTTGTGGGTGTTGGGAAGCAGAGTGCCAGGTGAGGGGCAGGCGTTTGTGGGTCACTGTAAAGGTTTAGCGCTCCGCTTTGGGTTCAGGGTAATCAGCAAGGAGTTTAAAGAAGGGAAGTGATGTGCATAGTCCTGGCAGGTCGAGGATGGTGGCTTAGGGACAGGATGCACAGAAGTGGTGGGTGAGAGACACGTTGGGTAAGAGTGGAGGAGGTCAGGAAGTGGGAGCCCCAGGAGCAGGAAGGACAAGCAGGGCCAGTGCTGGGGCTGCAGGGAAAGGGACACATGTGGTGGGTGGATAGAATGATGGTCAGATCAACAAGACTGGGCAGTTCTCTCAGCCAGGGGCCTGGGACCGTTAGGTCTGCAAATGCCATTTCATTGTCATGCTTTTTTCCATCTGGTGAAGTAAGTGGTGTAAGCTGAGCTCTTCTCTGTCATCCTAGCAAGTTGTCTGTCACCTGTGTAAACCCCCCAGACCCTGGCGTGGGTGCCCAGCCGGGCAGCGTGCAGCAGGAATCATCAGGGAAGCCAGTGAAGGCTGTAAGTGTGGCTTCTGCCTCCTGCAGCTCACCTGCTCTTCCAATCCAAACCAAGAAGCTGGGTGTGGCCCACAATCCCAGCACTCTGGGAGGCTGAGGCAGGAGGATTGGAGGTTCAAGCCCAGGCTGGGCAATTTAGTAAGACTCCGTCTCTAAGTAAAAAACATTTAAAAGGCTGAGATATAGTTCACTGTAAAAGTCCTGAGTTCAATTTCTTGTTCCATAGTGGGGAGTGGAGAGAGAAACCAAGTAGGAGCAAAAGTGAGCCCACAGGAGGAGGTACAGACTGGGGTGAACAGGACGGGAAGCACAGGGTCACAGCTGAGAAACCGACCTGTGCCTCAGTTGCCTTGATGCCCCCTTTCCCTCTGCTCTGGGACTGGCAGGAGGCTCCCGGCTGTTCTGGGCAGAGGCTACAGCTGGGTTTCCCGTTGGCTTTCACATAACCTGCACGGTCTCCCTTTTGGAAACCAACAAACCAGCCAAAAATTCCCAAGCATGATGGAGTCACAGAGGGGAGGTGGGGATGGGGGCAGTGAGAGGGGGCAGAGGAGAGAGAGGGTGAGGTTTGGGGACCCGGCGTCCAGTGGGAAGCAGCCACCAGCTGTCCAAGCCTGGGACGCCAGGTCCTGAGGCTTCGTGGTCCTGACTCAGCCTCCCCAGCGGTCCCTCTGGGGCCACTATTAGAATCGGTCCCACCATTTCATCCCTCCCTGGTGGCACTGGTGGGAGCACTGGAAAGCTTAATGGGAAGAAAGTAAAGTACAAGTGATGTCCCGACTTACTAGTTTAGAACAACAGAGGACAGGAAAAGGCACCTACCTGCAGGAGGAGACCCGCCTGCCTCTGTCCCCCAGTGGCTGAGCCTGTCTCTAGTTCTCTGCCCCTGATTCACTGGGGACAAACAGCAGGGAGAAGCCAGCTTTTTGCACAGTGCCTGCAGGAAATGAAAGAGAACTTCCTGAAGAAATCAGTCTGTGATGCTCAGGGTTGGAAGGAGTGAGCTGGTTTCTTCCCTATGGAGTGTTACACACATTAAGGCGCACTGTGATTCTTCCAGAAGGGCGGATGCCCAGGCTGGCTTCCTACTCAGCAGCTTTGTTCGCTGCTCTTCTTGGCTTGATTTGTTGGGTTAGCAGACCTGTGTGTCTCCCCAGTCCCGAGAAGATAAGTTGAAGTGTTCCCTCGCTTCTAGGTACAGATACATGATGCAGTTCTGTAAGTAATGAACGTGATGGGAATCCAGGCATGGGGACTTCCAGAAGGGTTATCTCAGCTCTTAAAACACAAGGCAGGTGTTTGCCTCTTCTGTCTTAGTACACTGCTGTGTGAAGACCTGAGTTTGGAGCTGTGGCAGCCGTGTTGGACTCAGGAGGGGAAAGCCAAGAAAATTTCAGAGAAGCTGGTCTTGACCTTTGGAGTTGTTAAGCTGTTGCAAAATTCCCCCTTCTTTCATGGTCCTTTCAATTTGTCTCTTTGTTTGCGCCATGGCATGTTTTGTGGTTTTCAATTTAGGCCATCTGGAACCACAGGGGAAAAATCTATTTCTCGAACTCATCCCCAATTCCTTGAACCCCTAAAGTAATAAACAGGTGTGCCCTCAGTAGTGTTAAAGCAGTGAGGGAAGTAGTCCTGTTTCAAAGTCTCGTTTTTGCCTAAGAGTCCTAACCATTCCAAAAACAAACAAACAAGCAAAACCAATCTGTGTTCCCAGGCCTCAAAGCCTTCACAGAACCTCTGCCTCTGCTCAGTGGCTCTGGAGCCTCGGGGAGCACTCGGGGTGCTAGGTGTCCAGCCCACCCAAAGCTGGCGATCTCCAGTGTAGATTTGCTCTGGAGCCAAGGGGATGGAGTTCCTCCTTCCAGAGCCCTGGCTGACACTCAGGAAGGCAGGTGGGACACGGCAGAGACAGTGCCATCTGTCTGTCTGTCTATCCGTCCGTCTGCCTCTTTACCTCTCTGTTGAGACATTTTATGTGCGTTCATACATTAAATCCTAGAAAAGAAAGCCCAGGACTCCCCGCCCACAATCCCCTACCACCCCTGCCACCATTGCTGCAGTGCAGACGCATCCCAGAGATTGATTGGTTCGGGGGCTGATCACAAGGCATTTGTTTCACTGTTTCCCCAACCATCTCATCAGCAGTGATTTCAGAGGAGGCTCTCCAGGAGCCTCCTAGAGGCTGACCACGGAGCCCAGCCTCGTAAGAACCTGGCATCAACTGTCTTTCTGCATAGTGTTTTTGTTAGTGTTACTTGTTCTTGTGTGTGTGTGTGTGTGTGTGTGTGTGTGTGTGAGTGTGCCACACCCCAGACACCATCATGGCTTGGCAGGAAACCCATGGAAGATACAGGGTGGACCAGGCAAACACATTCTCCTGCTGCAGCCACCACCCCAGGGCCCACCTGGTGCCGGGCTAGCGGGCAGGGCCTGGGGCACCTGGAACAGTGGGGAGCACACATCCCCCAGCAGTGAGCACCATGCCCAGAGCCCACCACGCCTGCCTGCTGCGCTCTCAGAGCTGCAAAGGCCCCAGCCCTGGGCTGGTTTCTCAGGAGAAGTGCAGATGGGCAGAAGAGCCCGGTCACCTCTGAAGAGGCCTGGCATGTTGGGACCACCTCGTGCGGGGCTGGGCACCTCGGAGAAGTGAGGGACAGACACGGGAGGGCAAGTGGGATCACAGAAACCACGGGGAGAGGCACAAATAGCTCTTAGGGCTCAATAAATCTGATGGTCTGCAACTGGAGGGTGGGGTCTCTAATTTTTCAGATGTTCCTAGAGTAGTGACCCCCACAATGTCTGGTGTCAGACTGTGGGGAATGAATACCTAATGAAGCCGGGTGTGGGGCGCACTCCTGTAATCCCAGCACTCGGGAGGCTGAGGCAGGAGGATCATTGTGAGTTCGAGACCAGCCTGGGCTACAAAGTGAGCTCAAGGCCAACCTGAACTGCACAGCAAGACCCTGTCTCAAAAAGACAAACAAAACAACAAAACAAACCACCTGATAAATGTGTCCATCTGGGTGGGCTCCCAGGTGACTTGAACCAAGTTACGAAGCTCTGTTTCTTATTCACTTAGGTGGACAGGAATCATCGAGGGTCTAGTCAACAGGGCTGGGGTGTGGCCTTGGAGTTCCTGATTTTCACAAGCTGGGACAAGGTTACAGAGGACAGCTAAGAGTTAGCCCATGGACAGGGGCCACTCTGAGCAGGGCCTGGTAAGTGTGGAGCATGGATTTATCCTGCAGGCCACAGTGAGGCTCAGGGTGAATGTCTCCGCTCTACAGAGGCCTGCAGGTACTGGTAAACCTCTGTCCAGCAGACCATCAGATTTACTGGGTCTGGAAATGGGTTCAGGAACCTATGCTTTTATTTTTACTTTTTTATTTTTCATTTTTTAAGAGCCAAAGTCTCTCTGCGTGGCTCAGTTTAGCTCCAAACTCCTGGGCTCAAGTGATCTTCCTGCCTCAGCCACCCAAAGAGCTGCGACAGCAGGACAGTGCCACTATGCCCGACAGATACTGCATTTTAAAAAACCAACAATTCTTAACTGGCTTTAGTTTCTATTCTCGAATTGGCCAACACTTTATCCCATAAAGTAAGTGTTCCCAGCGATCCGCATTCCTGGCAACAGGAACAGATAAGGGTGACCCCCCCAGACACTCTGATGTTTCATACCCCTCATTTGCTGGGACTGCACGCTGTGGGTATCTGAGGAGAAGGACGGTGATGAGTGCATTGTAAACCAGTCTGGCTTGGGGCATCTCCGGGCAGAGAAGGCCATGGAGCAAGAGGACACGTTTTGAAGAACTAAATGAAGTTCTGTGGCTGGAGTGATGGAGATGAAGGGGAAGACAGATTCCAGGGAGAAGAGAGCACTGGAACTTCCTTCTGCCTGGGCTTACACACAACTGGAAATTTCTTGCCCTTTTAGTTGTAATTTAAATATCACGTCCTCAGAAAGACTTCCTTGACAGCCCACTCAGTCTAGAGTAGTGAGTCAGTCATTCTCTGTCAAATCATCCTGCACGGATTCTCTGAGAATCTCTGATTACTCTTGGGTATTTTCCCATTTGTCTGTATATTTACTGTCTCCCTTCTCCACAGGAGACATTCTCCCAAAATGGCCGCCATGGTGTCCTCCTCTCATTGTACACACAGGCTGCTCCACTGGTCAAGATGAGAGGCTAATTTTTCCTTCTGTTGAATCTGGGCTGGCCTGGTGAATTCCTAGCACTTGATCTGACTGATAGAATGATACGGAAAAGATGCTGTGCTAGTTTGGGGCCTAACTTTTCAAAAGGCTTGTTGTCAGTGCCAATTTTACTCATAGAAACCAGCTGCCCTGTAACAAATCTGCCTAACTCAAGACCACCATGTGATGAGGAAGACCAAGCTCTCCAAATGGAGAAGTACCTGAGAGACACAGGCCCTTCAGCCCAGCCCAGCTGTCAGATGAGGGAGTACCCTTGGATGATGACATCAAATGATAACAGTACACAGAAGAGCTGCCTAACCTCACCCTGACCCAATGCCTGGCAGAGAACTGTGAGACATAAATCCCTATTGTTTGAAGTCACTAGGCCTTGGAGAGGTTGTTTAGGCAGTGACAACAGACAGACACACCTTTCTGTTAGAATGAAACTTTATGAGTTTAGCCTGGCAGTGCCTGGCACATACATGGACTCCACAGATATTTGTGGAATGTGTTTTGTTGTTTGAGGTTCTGGGCGATAGAAATCAAGCCTCCAAAATGTTGGACAAGTGCTCTATCAGTGAGCCACACTTCTAGCCTTGAAGGTGTGAATCCAGGGAAAAATGGAGTTGTCTATTTGTCAGAGATCTTGATACAAACAAAAAATACTGTTGGACAGTGAGTCCTGGAAACTAAGGAATTGAAGATAGAAAATAGGATTTTCCAGGTTCGCATATCAATTCTGAGTTTTGAAGGCTATAGATGTGGCAGGAGAAAAGAAGGAGACAAATGTCACTGAGGCTAAGGAGGTAAGCCCTCAAGGCTAGTCTGTGGCTGAAATGCACGTAGAAAAATTCAACTTTTGAGTTTGTTGTAGGGTCACACACCTCTAATCTCAGTGTTCAGCAGGCCGAGCAGGAGGATCCCTGCAAGTGTAAAGTCAGCCTGGGCTATTTAGTGAGTTCAAGGCCAGCTTGAACTATATAGTAAAACCTTGTCTCAAAGAAAAAGAAATTCAACCCTCCCAGGATGGTGGGAGGCTCGTGCTGGGGAAGGCCCTGGAAATTTCCACCAGAGGACTGTGAGAGGCCCATGGGGCAGATGGAATCCAGGGAAGGATCTAGTTTCAAAGAGGGCAAAAACGACTACATGGGGAGTGTGCAGCAGTAGGATAGAGAGACATTCATAAAGTAACAGGGTCTCAGGACAAAAAAGGGCACCCAGGACGAGCCCAAGAGGAGTACCAGGGAGACCGCAGTGGGAGACCAGAGAGACAGGTGCGTCGCAGCAGTGCCGGCTGAGGGTCATGGCTCAGGCTTCACTCTGGGCAGAGTGCAGGACGACTCAGTGAGATCACCAGGAAGGCAACCAGCCTCAAGGCTTTGGCTGGCCCGGAGGTATAAAAATGTGCGTTTCCTGCCAAGATATCCAGAAGACAGATAATGTTTGCTATTGGCAGCAGATGCAGCAATCTGAGACCTTGGCTCACGATTCCAAATAAGACTCTGGTGAAAGCATGCGGGTAGCGCTGTGGGTCCGCCAGGGCAGAAAGCTCCGGAGCTTGTAGACCTCAGGACAGCGACTCTGCCTGGACTGTGGGTCTCAAAGCCTCCGTCAGGCCTGTCCGAGTCAGCGCTTGGGCTGGCACGCTAGTGTCTAGAATCTTTCAAATTGTATAAAATGATCAACTTAGCATTGTTCTTTCCTGTTATAAAAAGAAAATACACGTAACAAAAACTTTGTCTTCAAATTCCCAAAGCAAAAAGCTTCCCGCTTCTGTCCTGAGTGAGATATAACCCTTAACATGCTCATTGTGGGAACCCACAGCTGCCCTGAGCTCTTGGTTCTTGTCCTGATCCTCAAGTCAAATGGGACCTCGCAGAGGACAGGTGACAGAACTGAACAATGGCGCTCTCAAACACTGGCAGGCATTCATTAAGCTCCAGCTCATTCACTGGGCCTCTTTTGATTTCAGGTGACATAAGCAGCTTAGGCCATGTAGGAAATTTATTGGTTCATACAAAAGGAAAAAGAAGAGGGGAAGATGGTGAAGGAGAGAGGGAAGAAGGAAGGAAGGGAGCAGAGAAGGAAGGAAGGAAGGAAGCAAGGAAGGAAGGAAGGAAGGAAGGAAGGAAGGACAGATCAGGTCACTCCAACACTGAAATGATGCTGGCCCCCACGCCCATCACCTCAGCTCTGCTTCCTCAGTGCCAACTTTCTCTTGGGCAGGGTTTCCCAACTGGTGATCTTCAGGGGCATTAGGCTTGCTTCCTGCTAAGTTGGCAGCACCCACAAAAAGCTACCTCCTCTCCTGCTGCAATGTTCTGAGCAGTGTTTCTCATTGGTTATGCTTGGGTCTCATGCTGTCCTTGAACCAATCATGACCAAGAGGGTGCAGTGCTCTCACTGGCCAGGTCAGCTCAGAGCTGTGTGTGGTAGTACACATCTGTAATCTAGCATTCTGGGAGGCTGAAGCAGGAGGATTGCAAGATCAAGCCCAGCCTGGGCAATTTAGCAACTTAGGGAGACCTTGTCAAAAAAGAAGGAAAGAGAAAGAAAGAAAGAAAGAAAGAAAGAAAGAAAGAAAGAAAGAAAAAGGAAAAGAAACAAAGAAAGATTGTGCAGTTGTCAGGAGGGGCATGGCATTCCAGGCTCATGCCAGCAACGGGCAGCTGTGACTCAGAATGTTTCATTGATCTACGACCTATAGTGACAGAGGCCCAGCTCTTAGAAGGGCCCTCTGTGTGGACTGATGCGCCATTGTTTTGACTTTTTTTTTTGGAGACAGAGTCTCACCACGGAGATCAGGCTGGCCTTGAACTTGCAGCAATCTTCCTGCCTCTGCCTCCTCAGTGCTGGGATTACAGGCATGAGCCACCACGCCCAGCAAAATTCTTTGTATTTCTTAATTTACTATTTAATAATAATTTACTAGTTCCTTTTTTTTTTTTTTTTTTTTTGTCTTTTTCCTTTTTTATTGGTACCAGGGATCAAACTCACAACCGCCTGCTTACAAGGCAGGCGCTTATGCCACTGAGTTAAATCCCCAGCCCCTAATTTACTAATTCTTAAGAAGTTAAAGTTCTTAATAATATGGGACTGGTGGCCTTGCAGTTTCATTTTTCACTAAATCCCACCAATCTGGCAGCTGGTCTGCATGTGGGTCTGCATGGGGACTTCAGGAAGCACAGTCTCCCGGGAAGAGAGAGAGTCAGGATCCATGCAAGGACAAACAAGTAGGCCATGCTGGTCAGGACTTACACAGAAATGGGGAGAAGTCGTTGGCTCCATCATTTAAAACTTTAGATCACAAGGCTGGGGTCCTGCTATTACCAGGGAACAGGGGACAAGGGCAGGTCCCCCAGAAGCTCCTGTTCTGTGGGGCCTGGAGGTGCCCACCAGCTCTGCACAGTGGGGCAAAGGTGGGGTGCAGGAAGACACCAGCAGCCCAGCCTGGAGGCGGGTACCCTGCAGCTGCCCCAAGGCCAGGTGTATGATGGGTCACAGACGCCAACGTCACAGTTTGCTGTTCTTGGTGGCGGCTCCACAGAGCAGGAGGACCTTGCTTGCAGACAGAGGCTGGCATCTGAGCCCTCTCCAGGACCAAGCGACACTGCTCAGAGGGCCCTGTCTGCCAGGAGCTCGGCCAGCAGATGTCTCCAGACCTGAATTTCTAGCTCCACAATCCCAAGCTGAACTGTGTGTCAATTTTTTTGCATCCCGTGGGCAGGAAAAATCTTGCCTACCTCTTGGAAGAACACAGTGACCTCCGATTAACGGGGCGACAACATGGAACCAGTAGAGAAATGTCACCCTCCAATGCCTGGGCTTTGCATTTATCATTTCTAGGCTATTTGCATAACAGAATCATTTGTCCCCATATACATTTTTTAATTAATTAATTAATTAGTTAGTTAGTTAATTGAGATTTTGGCACCATCAGGCTCCTATTGGGCAGTGTGATCTGCCCCTAGCACCACTGCAATTTTTCTTTTCTTTCTAGTATCATCATGGCCTTAGGCTTTTTGCAAACTCAGCCAGTTCCAAGTTTAAGTCTAATCACTATTTGCTTTCTGACGATCAAAAAGTAAAAGTAAACTAGGGTCACTGCTGTCAAGAAATTTAGATTGTGTTTGGAAAAACAAGATTTAATTTAGACCGAAAAACACCCCAAACTGCAGCGAACGGAAGGACGTGAGGTGGAGCGGAGTCTGTTTTGACGCAGAGTCGCTGTGGGTGGACGTGCCTCCCACAGTTCTTTGAATGTGGTAGGCTAGGAAATGTATTTTCTTTGCAGTGAAGACCTGAATCCGGGCCACTGCTGGACTCAAAGCCACAGCGGATCTGTCGGAGGAAGGGCGCACGGTAGCAAGCTGGTGGGGAGGAGACTTCCTCTGCCCAGGGACAGACAGCAAGACCAGGACCCTCTGTGGACCCATGTGAGACCTCCTCTTTATGTGAAGGCTTCGGGTACCTGTGGTGAATAACAAACTCCCAGAGAGCTTAGGCGAGGATTGTTGGCTGAAAACAAGAATCTGGTACTCGTGTAGCTCAGGGGGCTGGGTTGACTAGATCCCCTAATGGGTTCCTGCTCAGGGTTTCTGGTGTCCGGTTTCCATGGTGATAGCCAGGTGTGGCTGTGGCTGGCGTCATCCCGAAAGCATCTTGGCTGTTGTGTGACCGTTGGTGTGAACCTCAGCTGGGCTTTGAGCCAGGACACATTTCTGCATTGGACCAGCTCCTTCACCCTGTGGTATCTGGGTTCCGAGAAGGAGCGGGACGTGGCAAGCATGTTTTCTTCTGGCTGAAGCCGGACACTATCACCCGTTTCAGAGACCATGTTCAAGGTCAGGGACATGGAGTGCCACCTCCAGATGGGAACTGTTTCAAAGAACTGGGAGACTTTTTTTTACCACTTTTTTTTTTTTTTTGTCTTGTCTTTTTGAGACAGAGTTTCATTATGCATTGAGGCTGGCCTTGAACTTACTTTGTAGCCCAGGCTAGGCTCAAACTTGCATCAATCCTCCTGCCTCAGCCTCCTGAGTGCTGAGATGATCAGCATATGCCACTATGCCTGACTTGGTGGGGGGGCACTGTTAAACAATAAAGCACTTTTTTTTTTAGTGTGAAGTGCATTGCATGAATGTTCTCATTTAATTCTCAACATGACTTCTACGATCATTTTAAAAGTAAGGAAGTAGCTAGGCATGATGGTATGTGCCTGTAATCCCAGCACTCCAGAGGCTGAGGCACGAGGATTGCTGTGAGCTCAAGGCCAGCCTGAACTGCATAGTGAAACCCTGCCTCAAAAAAAAAAGGAACAAGTCTCAAAAGAAACTAACATTCAGGGAGAGCAAGTGACGTGCTCAAAACACAGCACTCCCAAGCCAAAACCCATGTGCTTAGCCTCTACTCAGCAGAGGGCTCCAAATACCCGAGGACAGAGGGACACGGAAGGGGCTGGGCTCTCAAGGACCCCAAGCAATTCTAGGCTGACCTTTCACGTGAGTCTGGAATGTGTCCACCCATAGACCACAGGCACTTGAGTCACAGTTACCCTCTACCCTTCTCTGAGGTTTTGCTTTTCACAGTTTCGCCTACTGAGGTCAACCACAGGCCAAAAACATTTAGTGGAAAATTCCAGAAATAAACGATTGGTAGATTTTAAAGTACACACCACCAATCTGAGGAACATGATGAAATCTCAAGCCAGGCCTCTCCTACCCAGCCTAGGATGCAAATGGTCCCTTCATGCAGTGGATCTGTGCTGTGGATCCGTGCTGTATATACTACCCACCTGAAAGTCACTTAGGAGCCATCTCCATTACAGACTGCTGTAGCAGTATCAGTATGTTATTATAATTATTCTGTTTTACCAACGTTTTTCATCTCTTCATGTGCCTAATTTATAAACTGAACTTTATCATAGAAGTATATGTATTGGAAAGATAGCATATGTGGGCTTTGGTACTGGGCTGCATTAGGGCTTTGGGACATATACCCTGCGGATATGGGGGATGGCTAGGTATTTAAATTGCACATTCACTGCAAAGGAACTTAGATATAGGAAAGACACGGGATAGGCTGGCTGTCCTGGGAAGCCTCCATAGTTTGTTTGTTGCTGAGCCTGATGGACAGGTAGGATCTGAGTTACAGAGAAATGGGAGAACGATGGCAAAAGTTTTCTTGTAGGTTCTGTCCTTAGTCCTGGGACAGGGTCAGACCTGGATTTCCATTTGTCATAGAAAAGCCCCTTTTGCTAAGGCAGAACGCCAGGATTTCACTAAAAATAAGTCCTTCCTTCCTTTCATGTCTTCATTTTGGAGACATGTGGTTTGCTGAAAACACAGCGAGTTAAATACCACACACAGAACTTACCAGTGGTTTGTGTTTCTGCACGGTCTGCTCACAGAACCCAGAGGAACCTTCCTTGACGGGAAGCCTGAGCAGCCCGTTCCCACCATGCAAGCATGGATTCGGCAGGAAAAAAGTCCAGTTTCAACTTAATTTTGGCAGACCACATATTTAGAAGGTCAGGACAAAAACTGGCCTTTTGTTAAAACTTTTTTTTAAAAGTTCACTTGGTAAGTGGGGAGAGACTCTTTGATCTTGCAGGTCAGGGCACTGGAAGCTTCAGGCTCTCAAGTTTATTTTGTGGCGAGGTTGCCAGGTTGCTAAATAAAGACCTATAGTTAGGGTGTGATTCTCTGCCCGGCGCTCTGCGTCATTCAGCTCTTGTGGGCGAGAGGGACCCTGTGGTGGGGCAGTTTTCCAAAAGTATCTAAAGTAGGCCCCCCTACAAAGAGTTCTTAGGTTCTGAGAAATACTGCGGTGAAAGGCACTTCCTTTCTTAAAACCAGAGCGCTTTGTCAAGGGAGCTGAGCCCTGCCTGCACTGTGTGGAGGGCTGGAAAGTTGTCCTTTGTGAAGATCAAATAGGTATCTGACTGGTAAGTTCTGTGTATGGTGTGACAGAATACTTCACTTCTGTGCTTTGAGCAAACCACGCCTAACCTTGTGGATGGTGGCATTTGAACCCAGAGGAGCATTCAGGGACCTGGGTTATCTTTGTACACAAAGTACTCACCAGTCAGGCGGAGCAAGTTCAGCCTTCAAGTTCAAAGAAGACCCATCCACCTCCAGCAGGATACTGAAAAACACATTTTTAACTGGAAAAATATATGTGCTTGTTGTAGAAAAAACATTAAACTGAAGAGATAATTTTTTTTATAAAGCCACCCGTTATCCTTTTACCAGAAATAATCTTGCTTTTTAAGTACATTCCCAGAGCTTTGCTGTGCATACATTTACATACCTGAATAGTTATGGGCTCAAACTCTTCCATGTTTTTTGGATACTTGCTCTTAATTAACACATTTCAATATTAATGTTAAATAATACTCCTTTGTAGAGCTACCGTATCTATTTAATGAATCTTCTATTGTTGGAGATGAATGTTTATTATTTTTTCTATTTTAATAATACCATAGTGACTATCCTTAATTATTTTCTTAGGATATGTCTCCAAAAAATGCTTATTGCTAGAGCAACGTTTTAAAACATATGTAACATGTTTGACACTACACCAGGCAGGAAAGATTAAATGTTATAGCAAACACTCCCAAATCTCAGTGGCTTAACATGTAATTCTCTTATGTACAATTCAGTGTAAGTCACCCAGCTGGGACTGAGGTTGCCTGGTGACCTATCCAGGACCAAGAATTGTCCGTATGTTACCTTCCCATTTGCTACACTGTGGAGATATCTAATGGATCCTCTGATTTCAACAGGTGGGTAAAAATGAAGGGAGAGAATGGATAATCAGACATATAGTTTAGGACTCAGACCTTGAAGTGGTTTTTAATAGGTTGGGATTCAGTCACGTGGCTACTTCTAATTACCACGGAAGCTGGGAAATGTGGTTTTCTACATTCATATGCAGAAAGAAAATAAGGGCTTGGTGACTACAGAGCCAGCATTGTCTTTGCCTCAGACTGCAGCCAGTTCCAACCAGCAAAGTTTACCAGTTTATACTTTTATAAGTAGGGTGTAAGAATCCCAATTTCCCTACGCCCTCAATAATTAAAAGCATGACATTTTTGTATGTTTATTTCCATAGCTTTACATATGATGTTGCTGCTTTTCCACACAGATAGCCTGGGAGTACCTCCTTCTGTCTTGTAGATGATCTCTCTGGAAGTCAAGTCGGGAGCCCTGACAACTTTCAGGACACTGTCGCCCAGGCTGGCCTGAGATTCTGGACCTTTCTCTGCCTGTTCTTCTGTTATATCCAGGTGTCTACAGAAGGGGCCACCCTTGTGGAGCCTTTGCCCCAAGCCCCGGACCCCAGCTTCGTCCCTAAAACAGGGTCCCTCAGAGTCCCCAGGAACAGTTAGAACTCTGCATTTTCTGAGCAATCTCAGGTGTATCTGTGCTGACACTATATTTTCACAAGGCAGAAAGTTTAGGGACTAAAACTGGGAGACAAGCTAACAGCTAGTGCTGACTTGGTGCATTGACTTTAACCAACTCAAGTGCTGGTGCTTAGTCCTTTGTTCTCCAACAGAACAACCCTTCCCAGGGAACAGGAAGGCCACTGTCTCACATCTGAGCTGTGGTTGCCTCCTTGTTCTGAAGTGTAGTCGCTGAGAGAGAACCATCTTTCTCGGGACAAAGATGATCCTCTAGGAGGCCTGGCCCCTTGACAGAGCAAGCTCCAGTGAGGACTCAAAATGGCTTCCACTGTCTGTTTGCCCAAGGCCTCCTGAGAACTGAGGGCCTGGCGTGAGAACTGAGGGCCTGGCGTGAGCACTGCGGGGAGCTGCAAAGCAGGTGATTCATGGATTCCCCAGCCTCTGTGTCCAGCACCAGGTTCCTGTAAGCTGATGACAGTTACAGGGTTTCCTTAGCAGCAAACCAACACTGCCCATCCAAGTCCTGTCCTCCACTCCTCCCTAAGAGGCAAGCCGTGGCCTCTGGGCCTCGTAGGTGAATGACTCACACCAACTGTGAAGCTCCTGACCTAGAGAAGGAAGCAGGAAGTGGCTTAGAGATATAAAGAGCACAGCCTGTGGGGGTCACGGTAGAATCACCTCAGAGGAGCCCATGTGCTCTGTACCATGATGCCCTCAGGTCTCACGGTGGACCATCTCAGGGTTTCTCCCTGGAGTAGGGGACAGGAGGGAGTAGAGGGGTGGCTGCTGCTGTTGTAGACAGGCAAGTCAGGCGGAAGATCGCAGGCAGCTCGACAGGCAGGAGGCCCAAGGTGGAGTCAGGATGACCAGGCCTTGGTCAGATAAGCAGAAGCCTGAGCTCAGGAGTTAACAGGCACAAGGTGGACAGTTAAGTCCAGGGGGGTAAGGAGCAAGGTGCCTGATGCCCACATAAGGACTTGTGAGCTTGCCTATGTGGAAAGTGCTTTTTTTCCTTTTCACTTTGTTCTTTCAGTGAACCACTTGGGCAGGATGGGCAAGAGGCACTATAGACGCCTGCTTGCTACATTTCTGAGTTCTTACAGGCTCGTTTCTAGTCCTTTGTAGGCTGACCTTAGCTTCACCCAGAGTGGTGTGGACCCTGGTTGTTTTTTGCTATAAGATCTCCTAGACAGAAGTCCCCAGGGTGACTCACTTTCAGGTCCCTCCTGCCCATTGCAATTAATTCCCTCTTCTTAACCCTTCAATGTCTAGTGTCCTAATTTTGGACTGCCCATAACAGTGGAACATAATGTTTTCTCTTCAAAGTTTTGTTCCTTGACTTTCTAGCTGACATATATGAATTTCATTCAAAAATTCAAAACATTGCAAAGTTGGGCATAAGTGGGCTGATAAACATTGTCTTGTCTACTTCCTCTGTCCTTGAATTAATTCTCTGACTTCTGGAGACACAAACCCAGGTTACACTGTTACACCATAGAGTCAGTGGCCTCTCTCTAAAGGGAACCCCTCATTGGGCCAGCGTGTGACTCTGTACCCCATCTTTGTAAAACTGACCCCAGACCCCTTCTGGGTGTTCCAGGAAAGTTCGAAGCTATCATACCTGGGTCCAGAGAGGGTCCCTTGGGGAGCCCACCCCTGCGCTCAGCATGGCCCTGTGGGGTTCTGGCTGCAGGAAGGGGGTGCTCCTGAGAAAAGGACCGACCCCCCTACCAGGGGAGGCCTCCCTGGGGCTTCCCGTTCTCCATCCTGGCTCTCCTGCAGGTCCTCTCAGAGCCCCTGACCCCTGTTCCAGAGCCCAGCCCCATATCTTCCTGAGGAGGCAAGGAATGTCTGCTTGGGTTTCACGTGTTCCCACAATACCATGGGCCCAGGTAGCCTGTGTTGAGTCCTGAAGACGCCCAGCTGTGGCACAGTACAGGAGGAGCCTGCTCAGAGGTCAGTCCTGCCTTCTGGTCTCTCTGAGCACCATCCTTGGATCACCAACAGCAGAATCATGGGACGGGGTGAGGCTGTTACAAACAGTGGTCTTTGGCCCCCTTTGCAAACCTCCAGGACCTAAACCTCTAAGGGGAACCCTGGACTAGAAGCACCACCTTCCCCCAGGCGGCCAGCACAGTAAAGTGTAAGTACCTTCCTCCAAAGCGGCACTGCAAGCTGGTGCATATCTAGGATCCCAGCACCCTGGGAAGAGGGTCGCGATTTGTACCCAGCCTGGGGAACTTAGTGAGACCCTCTCAAACTAAAAAGTAAAAAAGGGCTCAGGATGTGGGTCAGTGGAAAGGCCCTAGGTTCAATCTCCAGTACTACAAAAACAACCAACCCAAACAAAAACAGCTTCCTCTCTGCCAATCCTTGTCTCATTCTTTATCCTTCCCAGGAAAATAATTTGCTTCCCTTTAACTTTTTGTGACCTCTGACAATGAATCTGAAGAAGAGGAACCCGCTTACATAGGAGACATCTCCTGTGGCTCAACCGGCCAGCGGCCTCTCCAGCTCCATCAGTGGCGGATTTGAAGAATACCAGCCTCGGAGCACCAGGCTGCCTCCGCCCACTTTTACACAGGCGTGGTGCCATTACCAGTAAGCGCTTCTTCAGTCTTTTCTTCTTCTTTTGCAGGGTGGGGGTAACAGAGGATTGAACCCAACTATTTTTGTTGGTGTGAGACAGGGTCTTGCTCTGTAGTTTAGGCTGAACTCACTACACAGCCCAGGCTAGCCTCGAACTCACAGTGACCCGCTTGCCTTAGCCTTTCAAGTACTCGGATTAGAGGCATGCACAATAATGCCCACCTCATATTTTTAATGTTGAACAGGGTCTTAATAAGACCCCAGGCAGGGCTCAAACTTGGAATCTTCCTGCTTCATCTTCCCAAGTCCTTCACTTCTTTTTTCAACAAGCGAAGGGACCCACTACGTTAGGAGGTTGTGCTCCTGGAGTCTTCTAGCACCAGGGCAGTGAAGGCCACCTCCTTCCCCTTTGTGAAGGAGCAGGTTTGGAATCCACTGGGGTCTCCACAAAGAACATGCTGACCCTATGGAAACATGAATGGCCGAGGAAGGTGGGTTGTGAAGATGCTGGGGAAGGGACCAGATGGACCGGTCTCTGCTTACGCATCTTCTCCAGCCCCCTGTAAGCCCTCAGGGGAGTATCATGGCTTGGCTGGGGAAGTGGCTTACTCACTCCCCGACCATCCTACCAACCAGCCAACCAGCCAGTCAACCAACCAGCCAACCAGCCAGTCAACCAACCAGCCAACCAGCCAATCAACCAACCGGCCAACCAGCCAATCAACCAACCAGCCAACCAGCCAATCAGCCAACCAGCCAATCAACCAACCAGCCAATCAGCCAACCAGCCAACCAGCCAATCAACCAACCAGCCAATCAGCCAACCAGCCAACCAGCCAATCAACCAACCAGCCAATCAGCCAACCAGCCAATCAGCCAACCAGCCAATCAACCAACCAGCCAATCAGCCAACCAGCCAACCAGCCAATCAACCAACCAGCCAATCAGCCAACCAGCCAATCAGCCAACCAGCCAATCAACCAACCAGCCAATCAGCCAACCAGCCAACCAGCCAATCAACCAACCAGCCAATCAGCCAACCAGCCAACCAGCCAACCAGCCAATCAACCAACCAGCCAATCAGCCAACCAGCCAACCAGCCAACCAGCCAACTAACTAACCAAAACTAACTAGACAACCAATCTGTCAAACAACTGACCAAGCAGCTTGCTTCCAGCCTCCCCTTCAGAAGGAGAAATAGTCTGGGTGTCCTCACCTTGAGGTGACTGAACATGGCAGAGTCCAGACAACAGAGGGATGGGGTGCAGGGGTGGGGCTTTGTCTGGAGGCTGGAGGTGAGGCTTCATCTCTCCCCCCAGATGGCTGGAGCCCTGATTGGATGAGTTTTGTTGCTGTCCTTGTGGTTCTCGGGATTGAACCCTGGGCCTTCATATGGAGGGAGCTTCATCCTAGCCCTCTGTTATTGGATGACAATGTCTTGCTAAGTTACTAAGTTGGCCAGGTGAGTTCAAACTTTTGACCCTCCTGCCTCGGCCTCCTTGAGTACTGGGATTACAGGTGTGCGCCACAGTACATGGCTGGGACAAGTTTAGAGAGGCGGGTTTTCAAGATGTCTGGATTCCGGGTCCTGCCTTTGTCTTGTATGATGCTAAAGTGGTTTCTTTCTTCAAAATCTGGTCTCAAGATGTTCCATCTACCAGCTAAAGGCTGATGAGCTCAGGCTGACTTCCCGGGGTTACTAGGGAGTTTCACACACTGGAAGGCAAAGCAGGGTCCCTGCCCTCACGAAGCTGAGAGTTTTGTTTTCAGATGTGACAATCCTTACACAAAGACAGTTGACCAGGAGCCACAGGCTTTGAAGGAAAAGGAGTGCAGTAACAGTGTAAAACAGGGATCCAGAAGGCCATGGGAGGAGGGGGCAGGCTGGGTTCTGAGGGTGACTTGTAGGCAATGGGACAGGAAGTCGAAAGGGAAAATTCTCCAATGCACAGAAAACGCGTGCTTCAGAAACATTTTCTGTCCAAGGATAAGACTGACGACTTAGATAGCAGCTGTGGTCCCCATATACACAGTGTGGTGAGACCACTGTTGGCCCCAACACTCTGCCTTTTCTTACAAGTCCCCAGGATTGGCTGAGCAAGTGTTTACCCAGAGAAAAGATTATAGAGTTACCTTACTAAGCTTTGGTCATGAGGTGTGGGAAGAACAATGTGTGAGGTCTTGGGAAGTCACTTCTCTGCTACCTGGCGTCTGGGTGTGATAGCTGGAGGCTGAGCAGCCATCAGAGACCATGTGGATGTCTTCTAAGTCTGAAGGAGCAGCCTGTTTCCATCATGACCACGGGTCTGCCATACACAGGCTTCTTTTATGCAAGATTCTGGCCCTGAGGTCCAGCAGGGCAGACCTTGCCCCATTCTTGCCCCTTCCCACTGTTCCTATGGAGGTGTGAGGGTTAGACCATTCAGGTGCAGTGGAGTCCATACTAACTAGGAGAAGCCCTGAGCATGAGTTTGGGGATGACTGAGGCCCCTCACTGGGTTTTCAGTTGATGAGTCTGTGTCCCCATATCCTGGCCAGTGACATCCCTAAGGCAAGACTCAGGGGAGAAGGTCAGCAGGTCTCTTTGCAAACCTCTGGGTGGACCGGGGTAAATGCAGACCTTCATGTGCTGGGCTGGCTGCACAGGACACAGGCCAGGAAGGGCTGAATTCTCTCCCTCCTCCACCCTCCTGCTCTTGAATCCATGGGCCGATGCACTTTGAAGTTGATGAGCTGCAAGCGTGCTCACCACATGGAATCCCGCCCTGTTGGATGCCAGAGCTCCTGACAGACGGGTGTGCGGAGCAGAAGTCTGTCCCAAGCCGCAGCCTCCTGGACCTAGACTCACAGTGGCCGGGCCGGGCATCGTCCTGACTCATCCTCCCTGGGAGACCCCAGCATCTCTCTCCAGCCGCAGGTCACCAGGGCTCTGGAGTGGGGTCCGACCCTGCAGAGGGTGCACAAGCATCCTTTTTCTCGGAAGCAGAGCTGGGGGTGGCCAGCGACCTGTTCTATCGCTCTGACGTTGCCTTGTCTTTAGGGGACTGGGGGGCAGCAGGGGGTGGAGGCAGGAGATCACAGGACCCAGCGGGACCCTGGGCCCGGCTGCCACTGGTTCCCGTCTGCTCACCTGGCCTGTGTCCTGCGGCAACAGTGTCCCACAGTGGCAGTCTTGCCAGAGGCTGCTGGGGCACGGGGACATTTTGTTCAGCAGAGGGCTCGGCTGTTTTGCACATCTGTGTCACTGCTTGTCCATCCTTTCTGCTGTTGTCTCAGTGCGACCAGATGTCTGAGCCATTAAGAGGTCCAATCTGAGGCCCAGCCGTTTCCCCTGGGGACCTCCGGCAGCAGTAATCAGGAAGTCGCAGAGCCGTGTTGAGGGGGCATAGACACAGCTTCCTGGGCAAGGGAATCTGCGTTCTCTCTTTTGGGGTCCAATGTTCCTTCTAGACCTGGCTGCACAGAGGATAATGACAGGGAAAGTGGGAGGTCACACTAAGTTCACGAAATAAGTTGATGACCGATGTTTCTCTAAACCCAATTATAAACTCAGAGACTCCTCAAATTGTCCTAGGAAGCCAGATGTGGTGGCACACACCTATAATCCTAGTACCCTAGGAGGCTGATGCAGGGGAGTTACAAGTTTGAATCCAGCCTGGGCAACTTAGAAAGCTCCTGTCTCAAAATTTTAGAAAAGGAAAATGGGCTGGGACTGTAGCTCAGTGCAAAGGCCCTGGGGTCACTCCTCAGCACTGGGATGAGGGGTCCTAAGTGTTTATCCTGAAGAGTCTGTGTGGCTGGTGAGCCCTCTCTGCCTCCCCTGGACACCAGCTCCCCTCCTGAGGTATCTGCTGTCCCTGTGCATGTGTCCCCTGCTCCTGTCCCTAACAGTACTTCCTCTGCCCACTCAGCTTCCATACCTCGCTCTCTGGGCCTTCACTTGCAGGGGACCCCACCTCACAGCACCCCATCAGCCTCAGCCCTAGCTGAGACCTGTTCCTGAGGGACTGCGTAGCTGTGACTCCCAGAGAGAGTGTGGCCAGCCCACCTCCTGGCCTCTGGGGTCCTCTTGGCTAACATCGGGTTGCCTTCTGCCCTGGCGGCACAGCTAGGTGTGGCCAGGAGCCTAAGACTCCCAGCAGGTGGGCACCTGAAAAGATTCCAGTGCAGGGGACGAGGATTATAAGGTCAGCTGTTGTCATGGAGGAGGCCTCTCCAGCCTGGAGGACGTGGGCTTCAGAGGGCAGTGAGGGGCCGGGTCCCAAGCGTGGCCCTTGAGTCAGGTGAGAGGCAGGGGCTCAAAGGCAGGGCTGAGTGTGAGGCGGGCAGCTGCCAGGCCTGAGCTGATTTGCTTCCCTGCCCCGCGGAGGACCCACATCCCCACCTGGAGCAGCAGACCTGCACCAAAGCCATGGCAGCTGTGGAATAATGCACTGGGGCCTTAGGATGCAAACCCGCCACGGCAGAGCCGGCTCAGAACAGCCAAGGGAAGAAAGCAAAGCTCTGTGTCTGGGCTCCCAGACCACCCCGACCTAGGAGCTCAAGTGGTGGGCTGAGAATAGAAGACTGGGTGGGAAGGGTGAGGCCAGGTGGTAATGGGAAACAGGGACAGGAATCCGGCGCCAGGGACAGAAGCCCTGCAGAAGGATGCAAGAGAAGACTGGGGCGGGGGGGAGGAAGAGGAGGCTTTTCAGTGAAAGTTTGTGAGTTATTTTGCTTAGGCAGCCGTAACAAAGTACCACAGGCTGTTGCTTTTCTTTTCTCTCTCTCTCTCTCTCTCTCTCTCTCTCTCTCTCTCTCTCTCTCTCTCTCTCTCTGTCTCTCTGTCTCTGTCTCTGTCTCTCTTTCATACTATATAGTCCAGGCTGGCTTTAAACTCATGGCAATCCTCCTGCCTCAGCCTCCCAAGTGCTGTGATTACAGGCATGCGCCACCAAGCCTGGCTGAGTTTCTTAAACAAAGCACGTTTGTTTTCTGACAGTTTTGGAGGCTAAAGATCTAAAGCCGTACCCTTATGACCTCATTTAACCTAATTATCCCCTTGAAGACTTTACCTCTAAATCCAGCAGTCACATTAGGAGTTGGGACTTCTACATGTGCATCTGGGGGAGTGGACCCCGGCTCCTGTTCTATCAGGCTATAATAGGATGAAAAGTAAAGGGTGAAGAAAATTTTTGGCCAGCCCGCCATCACTGGGAGTTGGAGGGGCATCAGGCAGATTTGTCTCTGCACAAATTGAACCTGCAGTGCTGTCACTGATGGTTTCTTGTGGGCAGCGGGGATTGGCCTCAAGGCCAGAGATGGAGCTGGGAATGGGGGGCTGTGGGAACTCTTGGTTTATAAAACAGGCAGACAGATTGTGAGAAATGGAACACAGGACCCAACTTGAGGCGAGAGGCCCGGAAGAAGCCCAGCACTGCTGGGAGGAAGGAAGAAAGGAAGGAAGAAAGGAAGGAAGGAAGGAAGGAAGGAAGGAAGGAAGGAAGGAAGGAAAAGACAGACCTTTAGCAGCACAGCCCCACCGCTCCGGGGAGGCAGGGAAGCCTCCGCTCTGGGCACGCGCAGGCCGGTGACAGAAGCCAGCCAGGCTGAGGCTTCACGTTGCTTGTGGCCCGGGCGAGGCCCCTTCAGCCGACATTGGGTTATTACTGTGGTGGACTATGCACAAGAGCAAGCATCCCGGAGATTATTTTTCGATGTTCAAACCTGGTTCACACATATCCTTTCATTAAAGTCTCACCCCAGCCACCACAGATGGTATCACCGCAGCCACAGAGCGGATGAAACGAAGGCTGGGAGAAGCCAGGAACTTTCCGGACGAGCCAGCCCGGGAGCTCATCTCACCTCTGATCCTCCCTATCATCCCTTCTTGGCTCCCCTGGACTCTGCAGGCTTCAGCTGCTGCCCAGTTTAAGGCAGGAGCAAGGAACCGCGGTGGGTGATCTTTCCCAGCTCCACAGGTCTCTTCCTTTCCTGTGAATTTGCAAAGTTGAGCCTCTGTCCTTGGAAACATTCCAGAAACAAGACAGGGGCTCAGTTCAATTAAGGAGAAAGTGTGGGTTTTTGTGTTAAGGAGGATTTGCATTGGTGAGTTTTGTGTGTGTGTGTGTGTGTGTGTGTGTGTGTGTGTGTGTGTGTGTGTTTGTTTCACTATACAGTTCTGGCTGGCCTTGAACTTACTGCATAGCCCAGGCTGGCCTCAAATTTGCAGTGATCCTCCTGCCTCAGCCTCCCAAGCACTGGGATTACAGGCCTGTGTTACCACGCCCAAGTTTGCATTGGTTTTGAGGAAACTCCTAAAGTGCATACAAGTGTTTTTGCCTTTCCTCTGTTTGGAGTGGTCACCAAGAACTGACTACTCCCTGACATTTCTATAGTATGTCTCTCTTTTTCTGGAATGTTCTTCCCAGATCCCTTAGACTGCAAGAGAAGCTGCCAGGAAGTTCCTGAGGTGAGCATCTCCCTGTAGTGACAGTGTGCTTGATTCTGTTTCCCAGCGGCTCCCAACTATACTCCAAGGGCCAGGAGGGAAAAAAAAGAATTCCACCTAATTTCACTTATTTTAGGAAACAAGGGCTGGGCACCTGAAAGCCCAGGTTCTCTTCTCGACATAGTTTTTCTGGGGAAAAACAAGACAGAGTTCAGCTGGGGGTGTGGGCCTGAGTAGGGCAGGGATCTGTCCTTGATGGCCCTGCAGTTAGTTTGGACCCTCTGAGAAGAGGGGTCGGCAGAAGCAGCCCAGGGGACCATCATCTGCAAAACAGATGCGTTCCTAGGGTGCTTTTGGTTCAAGCAATTTTTGAGGAGCTTCCTGTTTTGGAGGCATTTGCATGGTCAACATGGTGGGAGGGCTGGATAAGGGGTGGGGAGGACACCCGGGGTGCAGCCTCTGGAAGACATCACATGGAACCGCCCGCTGGGGAGCGGGAGTCGTGGGAAGCCACTGTACTTGCTTTGGGTTCCAGAATAGCCTCCAGTGAGGAACTCCGTTCGAGAGACTTATGAGGCGTATACATTATGCATTTTATTTGGTTAACATTTGCACTGGCCACATGCTCACAACTTCTATAAAGGGAGCCAGGATATTTTAGCAGCCCACCAACTGGAATTCTCTCCCTGGAACGATGGATGCCTCAGTCCCCAGGGCAGCGTCTTCATGCTTTTTGGCTGTGGTTTTGCCTCTTCTGGTGCAACATGACAAGGCTTGGCTGGCTGGCTGTGGGGAACGCAAAGATTTGCCTTCTTTTTCCTAGAAAAAATTGAAAAGCTAAAGGAAAAAAACAGCACTTTTCTCTATTGCTATAGAAGCATTTATGCTTCAACTTAGCAGCTTAAAAGAGCTTAAAAGGTGTATTTATCTATCTCACAGTAGGGGTTAGAAATCTGGGAGTGGCTTAGCCACCGGCTCTGACTCATGGTCTTGCGTAAGGTTGCAGTTACAAAGTGTGATCAAAAACTGAGGCAAATATTGAAATTTTTAAAAAATTACCGCTAGAAAAAAATTATTACGTAAAAGACACATTGCCACGAATCCCCCTTTGCTTTGAAAACTCTTATCCCATCCTTCTGTCCCCTCTCTTGACGCAGTTCCGCAAGGCCTTTTTTGTGACTTTGAGACAGGGTCTTGCTGTGTAGTCCAGACTGGCCTTGAACTCACTACGTAGCCCAGGCTGTCTTCAAACTAATAGATGATCCTCCTGCTTCAGCCTTCCTGGCACTGGGATTATAACCCTACACCACCATGCCCAGCTCGTGAGTGTCATTAGTTGTGCTGTTGTGGCTGCCTTCATGTCCTGAATTTATTCAAAGCATTTTCCTTTCATGGTCGTTTTGACTTTGGGGATGAGCAGAAGTCACGCAGTGTCAGATCCAGATGAGAAGGTGGATGAGAACGCACATTCTGTTTGTTTGTTGGTACCAGGTATTGAACTCACAACCTTACGCTTGCCAGGCAGGCGCTGTGCTGCCGACTTTCACCCCTGGCCTCGCTGTACTTTTAGTGGCATCTCCTAACAGAGGACTTCCAGGGCTGCTCCAGACAGTGGCGACACTGGTGCAAGCCATGAGTTCAAAGTAGAGGGGGAATATTTTGAGAGAATTCTCAAAATATGGCACATGGCAACGTGTGCTTTTAAAATTTTTTTAATGTGTCTTTTATTGTAATAAAATATTTAAATTAAGCGCTCACCTTATAGTTGGTCCACCTCGCCTGAGCTGGCTGGAGATTCGGTTCTCTGGAGGCTCGGCAGGGGATGCTCTGCAGCAAACCCGGTCATACGGGGGCTCCAGGGCCTTCGATCCTTGGCGGGTGTCATCCTCACTCCTGAGCCTCGGGAGAGGGCCCCCCAGAGTGAGCCATGTAAGAAGAGGTGGTGGCAGAAGCCGTGCTTAGACTTCCCTAGCCTCAGCGTCTTACCCCAGCACCTCCAGGGTACACTCTTGGTCACGCACACAGAAGGGGCAGGGCCTGAATACCAGCAGGCAGGGAGCTTGGAGCCTACTTTGCAGGAGGGAGAGGAGGGAAGGGAGACAGGGTCATGCACCATGAAGTTAATGTCATGCACGGTCAGTGAAGAGCTCTTTCATTAACTCCAGGACTGTCCTAAGGTCAGCCTCTCTGGGCCTCAGGACCGCTGGGCTGTAAGGTCAGGCGGTCAGACTACACGGCCTGGGGTGTCCCTAAAATGTGCAGTGTGGATAATCAGAGGTCGTGAAAGAGGAGAGAAGAGAGGGAGGAGGAGGGAGGGAAGGCAGTTGGGGCCTCATGAAGCAGCCCAAGGCCTGAGCCCTGACCCTGCAGTCTACAGCAGGCCCCAAGCTCAGCGTGTCACAGCCCAGGCCAGGCTGGGCCTTCAAACTAATGAACAAGGAAATGAGAGTGGGGGGTCTTGTTCCAGTTCCCCAAATTTTCAGGCCTTTTTCCATGTGAGAGCAAAGGGGGACCGACTGAGGCTGCTTTGAGTGAAGGATCAGTCAGGGCTCTCAGTTTACAGAGCTGGTTCTTCTGTGTGTGTAAATCTCTGGGGTACGAACTGCCCAACATTTTCAGAAAGCAGCCCAGCACCCCCCCACACACACACACATATACCCCACACTTGCTCCTGGGGGCCGAGTCCAGCATTGCTTCTTATTTCACATCCTTTCCAGCCCTTCCAGAACTTTCTACCCATGAGTAACCAGGCCCTGCTGGACCTCATGGCTCATATTATTCAGTGGGGTCAAGGGAACCCCCCTGTCAAAGTGCCCTTGGAAAATCATTAATGGGATTGAGTTTTTGTCTGCTTTCTGTTGCTGTAATGGGATCAACGTGTCTGCCTTTCTTTGGGTTCAGCAGAGGGAAATACCAGTTCCTCGGAACCAGACAGGCGTGGACTTTTGCAAGTTTGGAGGTGAATAACTTTATTCGGAGATAACCATTGTGCATTCCCTGGGAGCTGTGAGGTCTCATGATTACCCATGTAATTTCCTGGCACGGTTGGTGATGCCTGAGTCATCCTAGGAAGCACCCGGGTGTTTATTCCCAGATGCTTAGATTTGTGTCTCGAGTTTGGAGCTGGTCCTTCAGCTATGGTTTTCATTATAAAACAATAACCTTCAACTATTTCTGGAAGCCCCCAGGCCTAAGGGAACAGTGTCCAAGGCCGGTCTCAAGCAGATCACAAAAGTGAGAGGGAGGAGCAATTGAGTTCTGGTGGAGCCCAAGAGTCTAAATGAAAAACTCTCGACCAGATTTCCTTCTGGGAAAGATTAAAGAAGCCCACTTGGAGAAAAAGAGGATTCTCCAAGAGCCGCTAAATTCACTGGTCCTATTCTATTACGCTGAGAACAACCCAGCATCTGGGGCTGTCTGCAGCCATTTGAACTGATGAGCTAGAAAACTAAAGTCGTGTTTTCATATTGTGAGTCTCCTGGCTGTGTCACCGGGGACAAGCTACCGCAGTGACCCCAATGTAGGTGCGTTTTTCCAACCCTGAATTATTCAGGCTGCCCAGCTCCCCAAGGCTGGACTCTTCATCTGTCCAGACTCTGCCCAGGATGCAACACTCACCTGCCTGCCCTCTTCTTTCTTCCGTTCTCATTTCTTCCCTTGCCTGCTTTGGTCTCAAAGGACATTATGTAATCCAGATTTGGGAGTTCAGCAGGAATCCAAGAGATAAATGGGACCTTAGAGGATATCCAGTTCCACTCCCTGCCTAACTCAGAAGCCTTCAAAGGCTTCTGCTGTGTGTTCCACAGTAATTTTAACATAGGAAGACTACCCTGGCACATAGCGATTCATTCTGTCTGATGACTGTTGCTGTAGACTGTTTTCATGTTGACTTTCTAGTATTGAAATCTGCCTCGCTGAAATTCACGCTGACTCTTATTTTGCCTGCTGGGGCAACCTAGAATAAAGCTAGCTATTCCTTCTGGAAAGCAGTCTTTGAAGAAAATTGCTACTGGGCAGGTTGATGCTAGAGCCCGAGCATGCAATTTGCATCTTGGCTGAGTCCCAGATCCACTACTATGGGTCATGTGTGATTTAGAGAAAGCCCCATGATCTCATCTGAAGGAGTGATGATACCCAGTGGGCACAGTGCTGTGCTGTGTTATCCTGGGCGTTCAGGGTTGAGTACGTTTCCTCCCACCTCAGCACTCGGGGATCTCACATTCTTCGCTTGGAATTGGGGTCACAGGAGTATTAACACTTGGGAACATGGCTATAAATCGGGAGTTTCTGGCTTTTGTGCAACACACCCATCAACCATATGGTTTACAAAGCTCAAATAAGTCAGTGCAAGTAAATGTCCTTTGTAAAGTGTAAAACCATAGAAATAATCAGCGGTAGTTCTTTTGATAAACTGCCACCAATTAGTTCCCAAGAAGTCCCACTTCTGAATTCATGCTTGTGTGTGGTCATGGTCCACACTGTGCTTGGACGGTGTGGTGTGTGGAAAGTGACTGAAGGGCTGGGCCCAGGCCGTAGGAGTCCTACAGCAGCCACATTCCCTGTCCCGATCCCCTGGGAAGCCAGCAGGTCTGGGCCACCCTCCCTGTGGAGCTGAGGGAGCATGAGGAGAAGGGTACAGTCGGGTGTCCAGATGTGTCCGCCATCCCAACTGGCACAGTGGACGGGTGAGGGGCACCACCCTGGGCCTTCCGGCCACAGGGGCCCTGCCAGCTGGCTCCAAGTGCCTGTGTGATGCTAGCTCACACCTGCACCCCACGGGGCAGAGAGAAGCCGCCCTGCCCAGCCTGCAGAATTGTGGGTAAATGAGTGGTTATTGTTGATTTAAGACAGTAAGTTTTAGGTGTGGCTTTTACATGATGACAGATGCCTATTATAGTTATTATCAGGCCTCTCCGAGTCTCCTCTTGTCCAAGTTAAACTTTCCCAGACCCTGTCTTTCCCTGGATGGCCTCTATTCGCTAGTACTGGGCTGGACACGGTGCAGGACCAGTGCTCGGACTGCATGCTGGCAGAGGGACGCCTGCCTGGGTTCTGGATCCTTACAGATCCCAGCCATCGAGGCTCAGAGACTTTGGTACTCAGAGCTCTGCCTGTGAGCTCATCCCAAGCCTTCGCAGTCAACGCCAACCCCCGGGCTGTGAAACTAAGTGTTCCTCCTATCCTAACATCTTTTAAAAATCCAGCTGCAAGGTTTATAGTCATCATCACTATCTCTCCACTTTCACTTATTCTAGTCTTCAAATCTGGGTTATGATTTATGCAAATATTTTTCAACTACTATAACATCGCTGTTGTGGTCTCAGGGTCCCTGTGTGAGAAACTGAATCCCCAGTTTCTAATGGGGTCTAGGCGTGGGTCTAATGGGGTCTAATGGGGTTTAGACGTGGGATCCTTAAGAGGTGGTTAGGGCAGGAGACCTCTGTCCCTATGAACGGATTAATGTCATTATAACAGGAATGAGTTCACTGTTTCAAGTTAGCTTTGGTATAAAAACAAGCTTGGTGGCCTCCATCCTGGCTGATGCCCTCCCCCAGTTCCCTGCTAGCCCCTGGAGATGGGCCCTTTCCTCTCATTTTACAGAAGCAGCAAAGAGACCCCGGGCCAACCTGTCCTCCCCAGAGGCACTTTCAGGTCTCAGATGCTTGGAGGGAGAGGAAGCCGCAGCCCATGGCTGCCCCAAGTGTCCTGAGATGGTTGGGCATTGTTGCATGGGCCCTGGAGCCAGAGTGCCTGTGTTCACATTCAACTCCATCCGTTCATGGCTGTGAGGCCTTGTGAAAGCCATGTAGCTTCTCTGGTCCTCAAGTTTCTTTACATGCCATGAAGATGGTAATGGCACCTACTTATAGGGTTAAAAAAAATAAGTTAGTATTTGTAACCTGCTTAAATGGGGACCAACAGCTCTTTATGATATTCAATAAATATTTGGTCTTAAAAAGCAAGTAGCCTGCAGCAGACCTGGGGAGGCAAGCATCTTTCCTGGGACCGACTTGGAAAGTGAAGAAAGTGCTTTTTCCAGGGCATCTCCGCAAAGGAGAATGAGGCCAAGGTGCAAAGGGTGCAAAGCAAGGCAGAGGTAGCAGGAGGGAGGGGAGAGGGTCCTGGCAGACGAGCCTTCAGGCATCTGGGTCCTGAGCCCTCCTCCGGGCCCGGCACCACCCAGGCGTCCTTCTCAGCTGCTTCAGCTGCTCAGCCCCTCTTGCTGTGCTGTTGGAATTAGGTGGCTTCTATTTTTTTGTTTTTCCCTTGTGCTTTGCTACTGAAACCATCCTGGTTCACCTAGGAGCTCCGAGCAGGGGGTGTAAATTGCAGTGCTCACGGGGGTTGGGGAGGTCCAGTGTGGAAAATCACTTTTGATGGTACCGGGCCCATGGAGGAGTCCACTCTGCTGCAGGAAAAAGGCCACACCAGTGTGTAGCCTGTGGTCCCGGCCTCCATTGAGAGAACTGTGATACACACTCAGCTGGATGGCGCAATCCATCTGGCCTTGACAGCACAGTTTAGCAACATCTTCTGCTTTTATTTTCGTAAAAGAAGCCATAAATCTGTGACTCTTCCTACTAAAAAATGTTGAATCTGAATTCTTTGTCATATGTGTCATGTGACACATCTTCAGGCCACGTGGGTCAATTATCACCCCTTAGTCCAGTTCCAGGGTCTCCCCTGGGGTGTGGGGAGTGACAAGGCTCAGAGTCTGGGGAGTCAGCTTTCGGTCACTTGTCATGGTATAAAGATGTATTAGGGCTCATGGTTGCAAAGGCTGCAATCTGGGGTCACCTAGCCCTGGAGTTTTGGGCCTGGGACAGCACTACACCCCGTGGCAGGAACCCATGGCAAAGAAAAACTGCTCACCTCACGGGAAGCAAAAGGAAGAAAGGAGGGGCCAGGGTCCCAGTGTCCCTTCAAGAACACGGCGCAGGGACCAGGCTTCCTTCCATGAGGCTGCACATCAGGAAGTTCCCACCACCTGCCAAGGGCTCCAGAGGCTGGCAGCCAAGCCTTCACCCCGTGGCCTTTGCAGGACCCCCAGATCCGAACTACAGCAGAGTCTCCCACAAACCAGAGTCCTGGGCTTCCGGTTTTGGATTCAGCCTCACAGCTTCTGGGTTCCCCTGCTGCACCTTCCCTGGGATGCCCTACTGTCCTGTCCACAGGCTATCCATGTCCACAGCTCCCCTCCTTGGCTTCTCACCCCACTCAGGCTGTATCTGTGTTCCTCTCTTGGCCCCTAAGTGCACCCTCATGTGTGCAGATATGACTCTGATAGGTGACCCCGTGGCGATTTGATGCCCCATTCTGCTTGGGTTTCTACAGCTGCTTTGCCTGCGACCTGGGCACCACAGCAGGACCACCCTGGCGAGGTGCTGAGAGGCAGGCTCTTGGGAGGCTCTGGGTGCAGAGCTAACGGAGGTTAGCTTCTGCCCCGTGACATCTTTAGCCCTGCTCTAGTGGAGCAGCGACGCTGACACAGGACAGGATAAGGAGAACCGGCTCACGTGGGATGGGGGCTCGTTGAGTGGGCGCTCTCCCTGCCTCTCTTTTGGGGAATGAGGAGCCTCTTGTGCTCCGCAGGCTCTTGCTGACTCAGAAGAAGGAGTCTCGGTGTGATTCTGCAAAAACACTCCCAGGGCTCTGAGGCAGGAGCGCTTTCCATGTGAAAATGAAAAAGAGATCCCTGGACTCCGTTCAGAGCGCAGTGGGCTGGGTGAAGAAGGGAAGGGAAGCAGCAGGGGACGCAAGTTTGAGCCCTGCTCTGCTGAGCCACACAGGATGTCACTGAGTTCACCTAGCATCTCAGCGGGTGCCCGAGAGAAGCCAAAAGACGGTCACCTTCTCCTTTATTAAGGCAGAGGCTCCCAGGATGCCAAAGATTTGCAACTGCCGAACCCAGAAGAGAGCGCTCACGGCTGCATCTGGAGCCCTCTCAAAGGTTTTGCCCAAACTCAAAATCAGCAGGGACATTGCCTTAGGCAGCAGGAGCCAGTCCTATCTGTGGTTCCCATGAAAGTCACCTGCCCTGTCTGCAGTGCCCTCCCCCAGGGCCATGGGTTGTTTCCTCTCAGACGTCACCATCTCACGCCCTGACCACGGCCTTGTGCCTCTGTAGCTTCCTCTGCTGTTTGAGAGACCCCAGTTCCCGTCCCTCATGCCTTTGTTTCTGCCTTGAGCCTCCTGACTCTCTGTAGCTGTGCACACTACGGGCATGAGTTCAGCTGGGCCCTTAGTGTCTTGCCCAGGTCTTAGTCATCTGTGCTGGGCAGTTTATAAAGAACTGAAATTTACCTTCTTACAGATCCAGACACTGAGAAATCCCAGATCAAGTCACCAGCAGATTCAGTGTCTGGGGAGGGCCTTGTCCTCCTGTCCTGCTGTTTTACATGGAGCTGCAGGAAGAAAAACGCTGTGTCCTCACACGACAGAGGAGATGGCAGGGCCCGGGGAGAAACAGTTCCCTCAACTCCCTTTTACAAGCGCTCTGCACTGGGGACTTAATTACCTTCCAAAGCCACGCTTCTTGATATATCACAGTCAGGCGATACAGTTTTCAGCATAGTTTCATGGGGCTGGCGGGGGGCTTTTTTAGACTGTGACACCCCTGTATCTACCAGGATAGTTCCACACACAGATTCTCAGCTTCCAACATCAGCTGAGGCCTCAGACACCTCCAAACGATCAGTGACTCAGAGAGGTGCTTTCAAAAACACTGACCAGGCCAGGCACAGTGGTGCCGCTTGTAATCTTTGCTCTCCAGAAGGATCACAAGCTTCAGCCCAGCCTGGGCTACTAGGTGACTTAGTGAGCGCCTGTCTCAAGATAAAAAATGGAAAAGGTAGCTCGGTGTGAAGGTGCTCGGCTCAATCCCCAGAACCGAAAAACAAAAGAGAGACAGACTAATCACTGTGCACCTGGCACCTGAGGACCGTGATCATCTACTCTCTCATATGTGCAGCTG